CATATAAATCAATAAATAATCATATTAAAAGTTATTCAATTAAGAGTGCATTTCACTTGTCGCTCGCAACGCTTGAAATTATTTCATCCCTGTTGTTTATCAAATGTTAAACAAGAATAAATAATGTTCGCAAGCGTCGAAAGAAAGAAACAAAAGATGTATGAAAGTAATTTTCGACATTTTGTCATTACTGTATCAGTATGACGTGATATTTAACCAAGTAACTCAAATTTTCAAGTATGAATAATTGTAGTTTTACGACAAAGAATGTAAGCTTCTAGAAATTCAAAGAAACAAAAAGAACGATGAGTTATATATTTGTGTAACAAAGCTGAAGGTAACATGCGTCACGAGAAACGATAATGGGGGAGTAAGAAGCTTACACGGGCAGAAACGATTAGGGTTAAAAATCGAAGCGAGAGGAAAAGCAGTAGATTCTCGACCGACAGAGGATTTAAAGACTCAAGAGATAGAGTACGGTATTTTCCGCACAAAAGATACTTTTGTACAGTGCAAATGTAGCTTACCTCTTTCGCGACGTAAAGATCATCGGTTTTCCTCGTTGAGGATCAATACGTCGGTCTTCGCCGATCAGCCGAAAGGAGAGAAACTCTGAAAGCTTTAGCGTGGACGAAGAGAAGGGAGAGAATATCATGAAAGAACAAGAGCCGGAAAATAAGGCGGAAAATCATAAGAGAATGCCGGAGGCGAATTGCACGTGCACTTTGGAAACGTGCGGAGAGGAAAGGATCAAGCGAGAGATTTGCATGGATATATTGGCGAAAAAGAAGCTACTCGAGCGCAACGGAGGTATCAGTCCAACAAGGCTCAGTGAGATGATCAACAAAGAAATAAACGATTCCCTTAAACGGATTAACAATTCTATTAAAGATGCTATGAAAACTCTTGTGAAAAGTTCAATGGTACCTAAGATGCAAGTATCCACAACATATCTTTAGAATTTTTCTCTAGATCATATTTTTCGTAAAAATATAAAACTAAACAATAGTAGATTAAATAGTGATGTCAAAAATTTATATTTTATTTTTTGTAATTTGTTGCTCCTTGTGGAAAATAATTAAATACCGAGATAAAATTTTTAGTAAATAAACTTCTTTGAAACAGGAAGAGAAAAAGTTGATTTTGCCCTGTTCAAAGGAACTTAAAGGAATATCCGATACATATCGATCCCGTGCACTAGAAGAACGTTGCAAAGAATCACTCAACGTTTGTACCAATCGACAAACTACATGCCATGTTTCACGGCAGCGTGATAAATTATCCACGCATGACAGTTCGTATCTGTGCAAAAAAATGCACGAAAATGTAATACCAGTACAAAATAAAGTCAACAGTAAAAAAAAGAGCAAAAACCATTCGAAATCAGCGAATAATGTGAACACCGATAATCGCAGAATGACCGGTAATGTCAATATCTATATTTGCTCGGAGACTAATGACAGTAACCAGGTAAGTTTATCAAATATAATCTTTTTCATCCAATATAAAAAACGTAAAATTATATTCAGATTTCAAAATACATTAATGGATTGATATTTTGTCTAAAAACATATTTATTATGTTTATCATTATGAATACATTATGTATAATTATAAATAATTTAAGCGTTTATATTAATAAATCAATACGGATGATGATGATACCATGAAAAAAGTAAAAGCTAATAAATATTAATGCTGGAATTAATTATTTTGTCATTATATTCATATAATTATTGTACTATGATTATTTGACTGATATATTATAAATTAGAAATAATTATTAATTTATTCAATTATTGATATATAATATCTAATTGTAACTGGTTGTGTACAAAAAGGGAAGAAAAAAATTAAGACCTCCTTACACGGATATAAGCTCTAATACAATTACCGAATCCAATTCGAGAAGCGCTAGCGCTAGCAGCGCATCATCATGTAAGCTGATAAACAGTATAAAAGAGAAACGGAAGAAATTGCTAGTGCAGCAGTTGCCTAATTTTATTCATGAGAAGAATGATCAGGAAGGAATTGAGCGAAGCCAACAATAAGGAAGAAGCAGATATTAAAGTCAACGATGAGAACATCCGAGGCAAGGACGCGACTTCATTGACCAAAGACGATTACTACTGCAAAGATATGGACAACACAGATCTTCAACAGGACTCGTCATACTTAACAGTTCCGTGTTCGAGTTTCAGCGCGTGTAACAATACCGGACATCCAGAATCTTGGATGACCACTTATCCTTCAGAAGCAAAAGCCAGATTAGACAACAATGATGTCTTCCTGTCAAGCGCGATTTGTACCAATGTGGAACAAAGAAATTATCGCAAAAATAACGATCGCAATAATAATATTCGCGGAAACGATAGCGAATGCACCATGTGTCATGCGGTCGATGGTAGCAGGTGGTTACCGAAATCGATCTACACGGAGTGCTCGTACGGCGAGGAATCTAGAGAGTGTTTCGCAGATGGTTGTAAATATCGAAATAAAATATTCCAGGATTCAGCAATAAATCGCAATGATATATGGAAGAGGCAAATAGGATATAAACGCTTGAAACAACCTCTTGGAAGTTGCCAAAGGGAGCTAATGGCTCGACAATGGTCCACATGTAGTTGTATTGCGGAGGAGGATGAAGATTACTGCAAAGGCGTTGAGAAAGACAAGGAAGACAAGAAAGAGCTCTCACAAAATGTGTGCAATGTCGCAGAGTGTTTAGAAACAATATCCATTTGCCGAACACCCAAAAAATTAGCCGAAAGTGCAACTGTATGCGAGACGTCATTTGGCGATGGAAAACGTTTTAAAAAAACATGGACGTGTAAGAATTCGGAGGAACATTTGAAGGATACTAGTGTGTGTGAAACAAGATTTATAAATTCGATTGAACCTCCAAAAGTAACAAAAGTCTGTCAGGAATTCGTTACTGAAGAGCCTCCGGAAGATATCACAGTTTGCAAGACGTTTGGAGAAACGAATGAACTCCCGGAAGAAGTAATAGTTTACAAGACGGAACATTCTGACTCCAAAGATACCCTAAAGGAAACAATTTGTAAGGAGATTCCCGATTCAAACTTTGCTAACCAAGACGATGTTAACAGAGTATTCCTAAACGATGTAAAGGACAAACTTGTGGAAGAAAGTACAACTAGCTCGAACTTAAATAGTCCGGAAAAGAATGCTGGCAATAAAAGAATGGTAAAATTAAATAATAAGCATGATGTTGCTCTCAATAGTTTTACGGGACAACAACCTGCTAATGCAGAGCAAGATGAACAAATAAACAAAATAATAAATGATCGATCGAAAAATGTACCTCGTACTCCCGTTGAATCAATTAAAAACTCTAAACCATTGTCAAAAAATGTTTATTCTAAATTACCACGCGCGCAGTTTTATAATCGCTCGAATCTTGTATCTAATTCCAGTGTAAAGAAAACATCAAAGACTCATATTAATCAGCGAAGAACGCAATCGCTTAATCGATCAATGAGGAATTACTTTCAACAATCAAATAATCGTACGAAAAATTTGGTATCAAATAAAAACAATCAACTGAAAGAAAAAACATTAGAAAACTCGCAAGAAGAAAAAGAGAGACAAGATATTTCAAAAGAAATCAAAACGACTGAGGACAAACAGAGAGAGTCACTTTTACATCGACCATTTAAAAAATTGATCGATGTAATTAGACGTGGTAAAACATTTATTACAGACAGAATAGAAACAGGAAAAATTGAAGCAAAGGAAACAATTGCTGATGGTGAAAGAAATGTTGAACAATCAGAAATTGCTTTGGAAATTGAGGATAAAACCAGTACAAAAGACCAGCAAGAGATTATTGAAAAAGCGATTGTACCAATTATGAAACCACTACAAACAGAAATTGCAGACAAAGGTATATTATAAATTAATTCATCTTATTCTTAATTACTTTAATCTTTAGAGAGAGAGAGGAGGGTCTATTTTTTAAACCTTACAACTTTTCCTGAGATAAGATTTGTTATAATTTATTATTTTTCATTGTATTTCTTGCTTTAAAATATGACACTGTTTCAGCGTCATTATAATGGTTTTCTTGTCTTGTAAAGATTTATTATTGAAAGCTTTTAGAATTATTTCTATAAATTTTCTGCAATATTTACTTAAATTAAATTATAAATATTACATAATAATGTAATATAGCATTTTAACGTTTGATGTGAATAAAAAGTATTGTTGATCAATTTGATGCGGCATTATGTTAATTTTATTTGTAGAAATTATTAGAAAAATTTTTGCGAGATCAAAACCGATCGCCCTAGTAACTGATTTTATAATTCCTGAAAAAGAAAAGAAGATAGATATTCAAAGAACAGACCAAACAATGCCTAAATTACTACGAGTCATCGCGGCGAAGAGATCGTATGTTCTACCAATTGTAGTGACAACTGATTCTAAACCCCAACAGCCTGAAGTACTATCTGCTGAAAAAACTCATGTCGACCAAGAGGAATTCCCAGAAGAAAAAGTAACTTTGCAGGAACGTGTGGAAGTTGCGAAAGAAATAAAAACGGATGTTGTAATTATGCCTGAAATGAATGTTGCCGCAATCGAAGATGCTCCAAAAGATGTTGCTGATGAAAATAGAGTTTCCCAATATGATATTCTGAATGATACAACAAGGATTTATGTCGCTTGCCCGCAGAAAAAACCAGAAGAAAAATTTCAAAATCTTATTCTTTGTAAATGCGGTTTACCTTCTGATTCGAATGGTTGTTCGCGCTCGATTGCCAAGTGTATGAAAGACCGTGTACCTTATCCACAGAAGAAATCGGAATTTTTTTGGAAGAGGAATTGCAAAAATCTGCCTTTTATACGCGCAAATTACCTTTTAATTCGAATAATTATTTATATTCCATTGTCAAATGCACACAGTGCAATAATATTATTGATAATTGTCCTTGCAAAAACAATAGATTTGAACAAAACAAAATTTACTGTGCGTATTGTCGTTTGTTAACCATGCAATGTATCTGCACATCAAATCTAAAGAATTGCTTGAAGACTGATAAATCAAAATTTCATGGCGCATCACCTTCAAAGATCAGCTCGCAAATCTGCACAAATTATTGTATAAAAAAGCGGAAAGAACGCAAGTGCAGAAAAACCACGACTTGTTGCCATTCTCACGAAGAATGTAGATGTAAATGGTGTGCAACACGCGACAATTTTTCAAGAATTATTGATAAATGCAAGTAAGATATAATAAGATTTTTTTCTATAATATTGTATGATTTTAGATAAATACATTTATTAAATATAAATTAGTGAATATTTATTAATTAGATATTTCGATATACTTTTTAATTATATAATTCCGAGACAAAAAGCAATACTCAGAATATACATATTTTTATAAATCTCTCGTTACAATTTCCCGAAATATTTGACAGGTGTGGATCACAAGAAAGGTGTAGTAATTGCGGTAAACTAAGAAATCAATGTTGCTGTGCTACATTCACTTTAGTAAAGTGCCATAAGATCAAGGAAGCCGCCAATCGCAAGAGGACAATGATTTGTCTATACTGTGATAATCCTCAAGACAAATGTACATGCAGAGCACCAATCGGAAAGTGCTTGTATTGCGGATTGCCATCAGATGTTTGCAACTGTCAAGGCGACAAGGGTCACGCTCGTGATTCTGAACGGATTGCTAAAAGACCGGATGAGAATCGAACGATTTGCGTCACCAGCTGGAAACCAAAGAGGGAAATCAGACGATATTTCGAAAGAAACTATGAAGATTTCGAGCCGTATTCTACTAAGGAATGTCAATGCTGCAAAAAGGGACATCCTGAGGAACTATCTTATCAACGGCTAAATGTTTTCTCGGAAGTGATGAATGAACTGCAGCAGAAGATGAGCGAGTCCGTATGCTGCACACGATGCTGGAGAAATCCTTGTTGTTGTGGACTGCCGGTCGATCAAGATAAGAGAAAGGAAGAAAGGAAAGCCGAAAATCGTCTCAAGTATATAAAAGAATTTTTTATCTAACAGATTTCTCTTTTTCATTTATTTACATAAAGACGTGTCAGAGAAATACTAAAAATAAAATTTTTTATTTATTCTTATGTAACTTTTATGCTACATATAAATATTCAGACGGTCCACCATAGAATTTCATGTTATTAGATTTTAAATGGTTCTTTATTATTTCTTATCCTTCAAGCTATTATTCTAATAATTATACTTATTTTAGCAACTTGACTAACGGTTGACGTTATAAATAATTCCCTTATAATCTCTTTCTACAGAGTGAGTAAAAAATATCGAACCGATAAAATATCCAGAAATAGTTTAATGCCCACAAACTTAAATTTTTTAAACAAATATTTAAAAGTAAATTAATAAATTTACGTGAAATTGTCCAACTAATGTATATTCGGAGCTGCTTGATGATATTTAAATGAAAACCATCAAAATTTTGAGTAGCACGTTTAAATAAATACTTGCATTGACATAAAAGTAATAGATCTCGACATAAGCAAGTTATTCTAATATTATATAAACATCCTAACTAGTAGCAAATAATTGTTTAAAGCTTTTCTGCAATAAACTTTTATTGTATTAAACTTTTGTGCTTATTTCTTGTATCTATCGTTGCTTAATCACGCCAAAATAGAAAGGTTATCTGAAAGTAAGTCACCAAATAATTATAAGTGTAATCTGAATTCTAGAAACGAGCGTAAAAGCACTACTGAAAAATTGATACCAATTCGACATATTGGTTGCGTTTGTAAATTAACACCGTGCAGATACAAGAAAGATAGATCCAATTGTAAGAGACCGCTGGCAAAATGTTATTACTGCAAGAGCTTGCCTTGCACGTAAGTAAAACAAATTACATTTAGAGGATCTCAATTGCAAACGTTTTTTTTTACATGACATTGTCGGTATCTAATTTATATCAGTTTGAACGATAGAGATTTTGTAAATAAGCGAATGTTACTATTAGCGGTACGCTTGGTTTCATCGCAGGGCTTCTATTCACGAAAAGAAACGTTTACGAGAAAGTAGGGAAATTCGTTATGCATATTATCATAGTATTTTCTTTAGTTTTGTGTATACGTTTCTTTTCAAGAATAGAAGCCCAGGCCTAATAAGGCCCGTATGTACACTTCTTATTGTTGCTTTCTTTATTGCATTCTTTGCTGCAGTTGCATTACTATAAAATAACCAAAGCCGTGCAGGTATTCGATGATTCACCGAATGAAAGCAAAGGCGAAAAGAATTTTACCAATTCGAGAAACAGACACAGGAAGGTAAATGACGTTTAATTATATAGTACTTGCAATTAATGGTGAACCAAATAACAAATAAATATAACAGCGATGTATTATTGCATAAAATTCACGTATTTAGAACACAGAAAAATAATAAAAATATTTTAGTTAATATTTTTACGCCAATAATATATATTACTTAGGATATTTACTAGGTTATTTCTATTTTTATCTTCATTAATTATTCTCGATCTAATTTTTATATTTTATTAAATAAATAACATGCTATAAGCAAATTATGCACACGTGCTCGATTTTGTAACTAACAAAACGGAAAATTCGCAAATATTATTCGCAACTTTTCCTAAAAATATCTCTCTTGTCAGTTTTATAGCATTAACAATTCTGGATTAACAAGTCCTGGATTGCCTCATAAATAATTTCCGTCGTAGGTAACAAATATTTTTTGTATGTGCTCTGAATAACAAAGATAAATAATCTGTGCCATATATAATAAAAAATTATTTTTATGATTTAAGCGAATTATATGCACCTATGATATTTCGACGAATAAATTGGTCATAATTATACGTATATTATGAATACGATCTATTATTAAGGTTGCTAAAATAATTAGGATGTTTTCATGATTTCTAATTTCGTAATGTTCTTGAATAATTGCTAACTAAGACTAGTAATATTTCATCGAGTCATAAGAGAGATAAGAGAACTCAGAGAAGCTATATATATATATATATCTTGTACACATACTTTGTATATTGAAAAGAATGTAAATAGCCTCGAAACTCACGAACACAAATTAGCGTCATCTTAATAATTATCGCGTGACGTGATAACGATTAATGAATACTGAAATTTGAGTAATGATGTATTTAGAATACATTTGTCTGGTATTTTATAATCCGAACCATCTGAAATATTCGATAAATACAAATATTTATTTATTATACTTCTCTTTATCGACTCTTTATTTTTTCTTTTTTAAGATATACAGCGTGTCCCGAAATTCGAGGGTAATATTATTGTAGTGTGAAACTTGAAGAATTAAGTAATGAAAGTAAAAAAGCCACTTTTTTCGTAAAGTAGTCTTTTAAATATAAACATTTAAAATTTGACTAATCATAAATGTTGCTTAAAAAGTCATCTGTCTGTGTGACAGTATGTTTTGTTTTCCGGATTTTCAACCTATTAAAGTCACAGTACTATGAATATAGATGTAACTATACATACAAAAAGGACAAATCAGGTATCAAGATATAAAAGCTTTTTTTATATACAAGGTGTTCTTTAAATCGGCCGCTATGATTTTTGAGATACTTCCAAATGAGACAATTGACGATAAAATATTTCTAACAAAAGTTTGTTGGCTTTTAGAGAAAAATTAATTGCAAGAAAACTTCCAAAATTGTTAATTTTTTTTTTACAAAAAATTAAAATTAAATTATATTTTTTTTTCAAATAGAATCATAAATTTTTTTCCTTATTCTTATATATACATAAAAAGAAGATTTCATCCACAAATACTACAAACATAATCTACAAATCTGTCGCAACATATACCTACATATATAAAAACATACATAGAAATAGTAGTTGTCGAATTCAATCGTCAAAATTCGTAAAAAAGAATAGAAATATAAAGTAACAACCATTTCAGTAACATCCTGTAAATGCTGAATTATTTGGGAAATAAAGCTCTCGACGGGATAGCCATAAAAATAGAAAATCATGAGAATACATTTTTTATCTGCGTTTCCTTTTTCACGAATTATAGAACTATACTAAATTCAGCTCTATTCTTTTCGTTGACAAAGGTGGAAAAGTATCCCGTACAGTAAAGAAGTTCACAAAATGACAAAAGCTGAAAAGCAGCCTGTAGAAGAAAGAAGTTCACAAAATCTTGCTACTCGGACGATCAGCTCCAGCCCCCCTACTCCAGTAGTGGGCACCTTATACTGCATATAAGATGCTGTACCCGCGTTGTACTAGACCGGTACCAGCTGTAGGCGAGCAAAGACAGTGAGGTAGTACGGATTAGTACGTTCACGCAGTTAGTGCTCGGCGTACAGAGGCTAAAGACGTTCGTATAAATCTCTTGTCTTCCCTTCGCTTTCGAAGTCACGCTGTATTCTACGAGTCAGAGTCAGTTGACGGAACGAGTCAAGGCTCCCGTTTTAACGTTCACGGTTTTTCCGGTGCTGGAGTATTTCTTCGTAGTGCAATCGCCGCGTCCCTTCCTGTGTCTGCGGGAAAGCAGAGAGAAACTTTTGCCGATTGAATAGAATTGCTGAAGTGTCGAGATACCGGTTGAAAAATGGAGATTTGCAACCGAAAGGATCGATTGTACGATATGCCGTGCGAAAAAGCGTCGCGCCTCGTTGACAACGGGGAGAAACTCCGGCGGAAGAAAGTTTCCACCCTGCGGGAACTTATAGATGCGCTGTACGAGGCCTACGACACGGATAATGTGAATATCGATTACGTTCAGGACCTGATGATAAGCTATAAGAGCAATCCTGCGGAATGGAAGAAATTTGCCAAGTTTGACAGATACAGGTATCTGACGTTTATTTATTTACTTTTTTTTTAAACAATATGAATTCACAACAAATAGGAAATAAAGACCATTTACGATCAAACTGGATCTTTAATACCTAAATAATTCGGTGTGAATTTATGCATTTATATCCAATCCTGTAAATTGTGCGCCGAATTTAATTATTAAAATTATTATCAAAATTATAATTTACAGGATTTTTTTTTTAAGATGCTTATATCAACATCGGATTATTAAGATTTTTCTAAGATGCCTATTAATATTATATTATTATTAAATTGTTTGTCAATTTAATTTGTAATATTACTTTAGTTCTGTTAGGATTGCGTTTCAAGACTGAAAATTAAATTCGGCGCGTAATTTGCCAGATTAAGGCTATGTTCCAAAATTGACTGTCTGTACTGAAAATCTATAGTGCACATAACGTAAACCGTCACATTTTCAGTGCTGGCAGTAAATTTGGAACCCAGCCAATATGCAGTATATAAACTCACACTGAATTATTTAAGCACTAAAGATCCAGCTTAACCGCGTTTAGGGTCTTTATTTATTTATTGTGTATGTCTTTTAAATTTTTTAGTATATAAATTTTATCTTTTAATATAAAATGCAACAGACATATTATCACAACAGATAACAAGATTATCGTCACTTTATGTATAATTGTGTCAAATATGCATAAATTATGACGAAAAAAATAGTTGAATCTACATAGCAAATAGTTGAAAAATGTATAGCAGTAATATAATCATCTGTGATAAATATTGAAAAATATTTTCGGCACGATAAAAACTCAACAATTAATCGCGGAAATACAAGAAATTAAAAATTCTTCTATAACGTTTGTTTTATTATGCACCAAGAATAAAATTATATCGCTTTCAATCTGACAATTGATAAGATTTGCATACCCGATTCACGATTCCACAGAATATATATCTGATGTAATTGCACAACTTGTTAAAACGTGATGAGAATTGTGGCGTGCGGAAATGTTTTCATTAACTATCAGCTAATTACACACTGATAATTACAGCACTATTGCAAATAAAATTACCGCATAACGGTAATAATCAATTAGGGATATTTCGGAGAAATACGTCAGTGGACGACGTACTTGATAACTAAAAGACGAAAGCACAATAAATATTTTATTTATTCTTATTATTCGTAATAAATATTTTTGTTATTCAATATATTTGACGTATGGAAAATAGAATGTCTAACAACGCAAAATTAATCTAAATGAATCTGGGATTGAAATTAATCTGGCGAAGTTCAGAATGGGTTATCGGCCGTTCTTTGCTTGTTCTATCTCTCTCTAATGCTCCCCTCAAAATGTGAAAAAAAATTTGGTAACCTTGTTCTGAAGTGACCCATAACACCACTACCACTTGTATCTGTGGTAGGAGTAGACGATTGCCATTTAATGATCGTCGGACAAAAAAATACGTTAGATATATTAGCAGAATTGTGTCATCGCTTCATTTTCTCCTTCATCAATCTCATGACTACCGTAAATAATAGATAACTAATACACGCAATAAAATATATCAGTCTTCAAAAAAGAAAACATCATGTTTACGAAGAGAGTATGACAAGAGTGTAAAAAGAAATGCTAACAATAAGTTGATATCAGGAAATATTTGAGGAAACAGAAAACTTTTAAGGCAAACGAGATACTTCGTGTCAGATTAAAATTATTTGTATTAACAATCTTATTAATTATTTCATAAAGTTAAGAATGCACGGAAATAAATTTCGAATCAAAAGGAAAATTCTCTTGTTCTTCACAGCTTTATTTACCAGGGTGCGTATTACACATATATAATTACGATAACTGGATTAGCTTACAATATTACGCGCGATCACATATCTTCATCGTTCGATAAGGGGGACAGAGAGAGAGAGAGAGAGAGAGAATGTTCTAGAGAATTATTAGACATTATCGACAATGTTATCTCCGTGAACATGTTGCAACGAACTGGACGATGCAACTCGTATTTTCATATTCAGAGCGCAGATAAGAGTTTACTTAGCACAGAGATTACTGTATGTAATACTCAAACGTTTTAAGCATTCGAGAAACACATTTCTGCTGATATTCAAGAATTTTTGTTTTTTCTCAAATGGTTCTTAATGTTTTTCTTATTTCTTTCGTCATATGTTATGTTATCGAGTGCCATCGGAAATACGACAACTAGTTTAACGTCTTGCTAATTGTCGAAGACGTTGCATAGCTGTTGATTAGGCAAGCAACCGTAAAGAGGAACGAAAATAAGTTTACGAGTTCGCGACATAACGAGCGCATTGGACGCAGGTGGAATTACTGTGTGCAGTAGCTGGAGATCCACGTGACTCGGGAAAGTACGGAAACTACGGGGCACGTTTACCGGTTTTACTGTCAACACAAAGTAGAACGTAATGCCGTGTGGCAGGCAAATATTCCTTCTACTTTGAGATCGTTCTTACGAAAGGTCACTAGAAAGATAAACATCTTTGTCGTCGTATTTCAACGGGTTATCATATTGTTCAACGCTTTCAGCGTCAATCTGTAGGCGAATGTACAATGTGATTACAGAAATTGTTGACAATACAGAAAACCGTATCAACAAATTAATGATAAATTTAGTGATACCTCGAGAAGAAATGTTTTTCTGTAAAAATGAGAAATGGAACGTTTTTAAAATCTAGAAAGTTTTATTTTTGAGACAAACATAGAACATATCAATATTTAGATTTTTTTAGATTTTTGCGCTTTAGATTTTTTGAATACTTTAATTCACATACTTTTATTCGATGAAGAACACTTGTACCTGCGAGCGTACAAAATATTCGTTTATATCACTGTTTCAAATCAATACTCAAATATATTTAAACTGAGAGATTTGGAGATATCTTGATACTTTGCATGAGACGACATTCTTTAATTAAAACGTTTGCAAAATTAATAGTTAATATTAATATCGAATTAAATAAAGCTAACGTAAATCTCTCTCTTGATTATTTTAAAAATTATATTTTTCTTAAACGGATATTAAATCTAGTTATTTAAAGATATTATTTAGTACCGGAAATTAGAACAGCGATAAATAAATATCCAGAGGCGATCGACCGATACACGTTTTATATATATATATATATACATACACATATATACATATATATAGTTAGTTATATGTATGTACTTTCCATGCATATATTCCCTTTCTCCATGATTGCGTTCTGCGCAATCCAGAGAACATTGGTATCTGTACATCGCATGACATTCGTGGAAAAAAAAAACGCGGACGAAACGTATGCTGTGCGAAACATTGGAACTTTCAAATTATATTCGCTCTGCTGCATCTCACATTTCACTGCTGGAATCACAGATCACTGATTCATAAATCGTGCACTTTATATTAATGCTTTTCGTAAATAATGTTTGTTTTTTTAGGACGATGAGGTAATTGTTAATCAAATGTTACAAAAAGTTGATAATTATTTAATAATACCGTACAACCAATTCGAACTAATTTAGATTTAAATGATTGTTCTTTTCGAGAAGATGAGTTGTCTTTATTTTCTCCTACTATGATTTTTTTATATCGTACTATAATTTAAACACGTAATCTGATCTAAAACTAAAACATGTTAAGTATTATAATTGATTTAAGTTTTGATAGTATTATAGTATGTATTTTTCAAAGGACTAGTTTATTTCTAAGCTGTAAAATTTATACCGGTTTAAAAGCTAATTTTGTACTAATTCTTTTTGTGCTACAAGAAGTATAGATTCGAATTAATACTTAAATCCAGATATGAGAGAGAGAGAGAGAGAGAGAGAAAGAATTAACATTTAAATCGACAAATATTGTTTATTAAGACAAATCAATAGATCAACAGATCTATAAACATGTTACCTAGTCGAACGTGTGTGTATATATATCAGGGTTGGGGGGGGGTAAAGACTAATGTTTTTTTTTAAGAATAAATATACTGTGTTTCTTCTTAAATATGTTTTTAATGCTTCAAATAAGCTTTAAACAGTATTATAAAAAAACATTTAAAACATATATAAAAAACATCAATTTAGCATGTTTTAAACTGTTTAAAACACGTTAAAACGACATGTTGTTTACCAATCCTGATATATATATATATATATACACTATGTGAATAAAATCTGCACACGTAATAATTTAAGTTTAAGGAATATACGTATTTGAAATGTGCATCAAGATTTTCGAAAGGTACCGACCGAAAGCAACGGAATAAGAAAATTCTGACCGGTCGGACAACATTTTCGAAGGAAAAATATTAGATTGTAACGCTCGATGTTTTATGTGCAGATATACCAGAAACTTAGTTGACGAAGGGAATGGTAGGTTCAATCTCATGGTATTGTGTTGGGGAGAAGGTCATGGGTCAGCCATACACGATCATGCCAACTCGCACTGTGTAATGAAAATGCTCCAGGGGAAATTATGCGAGGTACGGAAATTACGAATAATTATTCGGAATCATTTTAGACCACGTATCATACATACGTTGTGATGTAAAACTGAGATATCAAATTATTTTTTATTGTTAGACGAGGTACGCGTGGCCCGAAGGATCGGAGATGAAAAATGATGTGGAGGAACTCAAGGAACTTGAGAAGAACACGCTTGATACGAATGAGATCTGTTATATTAATGGTATGACTGTTTTTAAATTAAATCCTAGACGATAAGTCTTACATATTCAATGAGGAGCTTTCTAAAAAAAAAATAACATTTTGTATATAACTTATTTTATTATCGAGTCGAGTATCGAGTCTGGTGAAAGATATTTGTACGGGGGAGATTTTGATTTAAAAAAAGTTTTATTTGTAGAAATTAAACATTAATTAGCAATTTATTAACAGTACGTTCTGTCCTAATATAAATAAAAAAGTTTCGCAAAAATAAACTGTATTCATGAAATTAAATTAGAAACTAAGTTTCTCGACTGAATGAATATTTTTTATCAGTTCAAATAATACAATTTTTCATTTACGCTTATTACTAAGATAATATATTTTAATTATTACACAACTTTTTAGGAAATAATTTTAAAAACGATCTATCTTTTTCTTTGTTAATATATTGCTAATTAATCTTTTTTTTCGAAAAATAATTATTTTTAAAGGTATGTTCTCTGTATGAATACTTTCTGCTCTATTATTCGAAATGGATTCCAATCAAAATTGTTCAATTATTTCCTAGATTTCTATTGCGTTTTTTCAATGAAAATAGAATAATTTTGACCAAAATCCATTCCGAACAGTTTTATAAAACATGCTGTGATCATTTTTGTAAACGTAAAATAATCATAAAACAAAATTTCGAGCGTGAATCTTTTAATTTATAAATAAAATCATTTATGTGAATAATTTAATTCTGTGTATGTATACATATTTTAAAATAATCTCCAATATTTTTTTCCGTTCGAAAGACTCACTAGGTTTGCACCGCGTCGAAAATCCAAGCGCGATGAATCCCGCGGTCTCCCTGCATCTGTACTCGCCGCCATTCTCGTCGTGCTCGGTCTTCAACAAGCAGACCGGGCAAAAGTCTACGTGTAAGGTCACATTCTGGTCCAAGTACGGAGAAGGAAGAAACCGGGTAAAAAACTATTTGCATATCTCACGAAAGTTTTATCTTACCGCGCAATTCTCGATCTACCTCTCTGCCAAGATGCATATCAAAGAATCTTGCAGCATCCCGAAGTTGCATTTACGACGCTGGAAGTCATTACAAAGCTTTATGAAGAGCGTAATCGAATCTCTGTCTCTTTACAGAAAAATTCTAGAGTTAGTTCACATCAAACTAGCGGAACATCTCTAAATATCTTTTTTCAATTTCTTTTTCCATTTTCATACAATTAAGTTTCGCAAGTCCTAATATGATCGAGTATGCCTAATTGATATGAAAAGTGAAAAGTCTAACGAGTGAAATACACTGACTGAAATCCACGATGGAGGCCAATGACGGTAATTGACCACCTAGGGTGGTTTCCTTTTTTTAAAAAAATTTATAGCAAAATATTATATAGATACTTTTAATATTTCTGAAATGCTTAATCACTGCAATTTTGATATTCCAAAAATATTTTTTAATTTTTAAGAGATTCCTAGATTCTTAAGACTTACTGCTTTATTGTAGACATTGTGCAAAAGTTTATGTTGCAGCTTTTATTTTCTGTTCGTTTGCTTGGATGAGCAGAGGTATTATTTCTTTAATGCATACCAATAATAATTTCAATATAAAAACTATTTCGTATTTGATACGAAATAGTTTATTACATATTTAAACAAATTTTTCGCTTGCAATGCACAAATTCAAAAATAAGGATGGTAAAGTATGAAAACTATACAATGTTTTTTTTTCCTTTTTTTTGCTTGTTCGCTTTAAGCGCATGGGATTGAAGAAGCTTAATTAACAATCCAAAAGTATATAAATTCGCCAAGTGCCTCAGAAGTTCCTGGATCGTCAGTGGTAGAACAAGCGGAAATTTAACAAATGTATAATTTATAGCAAATTCAAGATGCCAGATCTCCCGAGGATAACTAATCTAAGCAAGAGAGCAGAAACACCACCAGCGATATTCTAATTAAACAACGATATTCTAATCGTATGCGCAAAACGATTTGCATTTTCTTGGATTGGACCTGGTTGCTCACTATGCATAAATTAAACCAAAACGTTAACAATTGTGTTATTACTATTGTCTAATTTTCGTCATGTAATCGTATTTAAGTACTTAAATTTACTTGTAAGGATCTGTAGATATTTTTATATAAGAGAATACGTGCACTACGCGTCTATTTCTTTTATGGTATCTATAAATAAATTAAATTACTAATCAAATAAAGAAATGTATGTAAGAAAAAAATATTTTATATTTTTTTATATTTTATATTTTATATATTTTATGCATGCATTAAACTCTCTTTTATTTGTTACTAAAATATATATACTAACGAACATCGAATTTCCTCTCTCAATAATTAATAACTAGAAATTATAAAGAATAACATCAATATTGTATAAAGAATTACATCAATATTGTAATTTCCCATACAGCAATATAAATATACTCTCTCTCAAGAAAGAAGTTATGATAATATATCAAAATAATGACATATTGATTGAATCATGACAGAAAAACGACATAAATTTGGTCAATAATCGGTCAATATATAACGTTATATTGATATTATTTTAGCTTTCTTGTTTCCCTTGGACTTATATTTAATACTAGTACTGGCCAATTAATCACTTACGTCAAGTATTAAAAGTATCATTGTTAATCGCTTATTTTGAGTATTGAAGGTATAGATATTATATATAATTAACAGTATCTTTTAATCTCAAAATAATTGATTAATTGGCCAGTACTAGTTTTATATTTAGATTATTAGGCCAGTACTTAAATTTCTATAAAGGTAATAAACACATGTTGAATGTAACAGTTGCAATTGTTGAGTAGAAAATTATAAAATGATGTTACGTGGTGTTTATTAAGATGCAAGAGTCTCTGTTTATAAGGCGATTTAAATTATTATATACAAATAATACGGAATTTTCGAAATTTATGGCTATAATTCGCTAAAATATTACTGTCGCGCGGATATTTTCAAAATTTTCTGTTAGAATTGATTTAGCCGGCAGTCAAAGTTAATTTTCAACGAGACACCTTCGCCGACAGATGCCAAATTTTCTCGGAAAATCACGTCATATCCGCGATCATTATTATCATAGAAAATTTCATCTCGACAATGACGAGAGATCAGGCAGTCTAATTAACAATAGAATAAAAAACAGCGAGATCGATAATAATTGACGAATATAGCAGCAGTGCTGTGTCCGCAAGCGCGTGCATCACACGTGATCACACGGTCATGGCCTCCCGGACGCACGTGCAGCGCGTCCGGATGCTGTATAAGACAATTTTGAGGTTACATCGCGGTCTACCGGCCGAGGTCCAACCCTTGGGCGACGGTTACGTCCGCGATGAGTTTCGGAGGCATAAGGAATGCGTCGAGAGCGAGGCGATCATCTTCCTCCACGAGTGGACTGTAAGTAAAAGCGCGTCAACCGCGTGCGAGCGTTATTTGAGGTTATGTTCGCGCGTGCGAGCCCGAGACAAAAGCCGTGGTCCAAAAGAGAATAAAAAATTTTGACCGTTAAAAATGTAATTAGCAATGCAAATAGACTTCGTAATTCCTTTTCACAGAATTACGCAGTATCTCTTGCCGAACAGCTCGGGTTGAGAGGTCCTCATACGGCAAAACCGCTAGGGCGATACCTGAAGGAAGAAGACGTCGAGAAGCTACGAGACGAGCAAGTATACCAGCTGTACGAGCTGATGATCGCGGCGACGGGGAAGCCGGATGACACAAAGAAGACGTAGCTACATACTGTGCTAAAACGTGGCTGTTTCCGTGACGTGGCTGTGGCCGATCGCAAATTCTTGAAAATTCAGCGCACTTGGACCATCAGCAGAGTTGTAGCGTTGAAATACAAATAAATAATTTTTCCCGCACGATTTTTCCCAACTCGTCAGCGGGAAAATTCACTTGACGATCGTATTGTGTAATAATTGTTGCTTATTATTATTGATAGCTGTTATATAACAATAAATATTATTGAGTGCGAGAAACTATCAGAAGTGTAGTGTTATTGATACAATTATAAATGCAGACGATAATAGCTGCGGTTTGAGCGATCAATCAGAAAGAATTTTACGAATTGAGTAATCAAAAACTGCTTCGAAGCGTTTGTGGACCGCAATTAATAAAATTAGGAAATACAACAGCAAGCAAGTGAAACTAATTCATTGTGTCGATTTGATGCTCAACCTGAGTAATAAATAATAAAAGATTGACATCAGCGGTTGTTACAATTTACGTATAACACAACATATGGCATATAAATAATACCATATATATAATAGCTATCAACATAATTATTTACACAGCTTGTTTTTGAGATAAACGATAACGCAGTAACGTCAAAGTGAATAATTTCGTTATCAGAATTATACATGATCACTTAATAATTTAACAGCCCAGAAAGATTATTGGCAGGCAAATTTCCGTTTGGTTAATACATTTAAAGATGAAGACCTGGTATAATGCGGCGAGTTTGATATTAGCAGCACGTCACGGACAAACACACGGTCGTGCGGTGGCGCCTGTAGTCGTAAGTGCATATACAACACAATAACAACATGCATGTGTATTCTAGTCGCGTGATCGACACTTTCTCGCTCCATCTTGCTCCACATTGCGACACGGCGCGTGGAATGAGAAAGATCTCGATTGACGATATATACATGTTTACGTTGAACTGTTCATTTATGATTATAATTTGTAAGGGTCTGAGCACAAGGATTGCCCTAACATTACGTCAGACTTATGTTGTGGACCTAAGCAACGCATAAACTTTGGCGTATGTTTTATTTGTATAGCTGATAGTAGCATGCTATCAAAAGATACATAAATGTACATAAATTCCACATTCATCAAAACTTGTGCGTTGCACTTATGTCTATAATTTAAGTGTTGCGATAAACCTTGTGCTCAGACCCTAAAACATAATGTATACACGTGACTCGTTTTTATCTATCGATGAATATGTCAGATGGCAAAGCGTATCTCAGCAAAATCGCAAAAATCTGTGATTGCTTATGATGCTGGCAACTTGCTGTAAATTTGTCTTCAACGATTTCGAATATACCGACATTGTAGCAACATGCAGGCAACAATGTGTATTATATGTATTGTTAGCATTGTTTATTTAACGGCAAGATAGCTGCATCAATGTTACCTTGTATTGTGTGCTGCATATTATTATGGCAGCGTACATGACGGCAATAATATGAATTTTGATGATGATTTTAAAGTTGTTGGCAAGTTGCTACTTAAAGTTGTCATATCGTGAAGGCATCAAGTTGCCAACAAATGAGGATTCGGTTACTGCAATTCTGGTAGCAACATACTTAGCAATGCATACTTAGCAAGCAACATGCCAGCAATGGCTGCGTTCAGCAGAGAAAGCAGCTTTGCAACTGTTGTAAAATTCTTCAATATGATTAGTTTATACGTTTAGATCTGTAAGGAACCAAAAGCAAGAACCAGTCGTATTGAAGAATTTTACAACAGTTGCAAAGCTGCTTTCTCTGCTGAACGCAGTCAATAAGACAGACACGTTGCTATCTGAAATATGTCTGTCGAGAAGCACCCTCATGGGTTTATTGTTCAGCGAATTTGATCACTCGTACTGGATTAATGCATACTAAAAGTTACGTGAAATTAGTAAAGTTGAATGTAAAAACATATAAATATTTTAAAAGATTAAATACCCAATATATAGGATTTTTTCCATTTAGTGACAAGTCGAGACAAGCACCATTTTATTTCTCTTGACTTTCAGTGAATAACAAAAGTATAAATGTATTGATTTGTGTCATCAAATGAAAAGCATCCATTGTCACATTATTGAATAGAATCTACCTGTATTATTTCCCATACAACACATAAATTTGCAGCAACATTATTGTAACGTTTACAATGCTACTGCAACATTATTGGAACAATGCAATGTTGCTACAATATTGCTGGAATGATCTGTGTTGTACAGGTTCATTATCAAAGTTGATTACAGTAAGTCTATTTTCTGTAATCGAACTAGTATGCACTTTTGAAACTTAAAGTGAAATAAGCATGTTTGATACTTAACGAAAGCGAGAAAGAAAGTTCTAGTGCAAGAATAAAAAAATAGACCTTATGGCTGCTTTGCTTTTAGGAGATACAGTCGACAAATATTGTTCTATCTTTGTTATTCATTGAATGTTAAAAAGAACAACTTTTGTGTCAACAGTGTCTTCTAAAAGAGAAGCAGTCTATAACCAGAATTCATAGTCAATGTTAATAAGATTGTTTTAAATATGGTCTTAAAATATCGTCTTAAAATGTTATAAGCTAATCAAGTAATCACAGAGTAGTATTAGAGATATTTTAAGATATTATTTAAGACCGTTTTAAAATAACAGACTATAATTATCGACCTATATTATGCGACTGTATTTAGATGCTTTATATAAAGCAGTTTTTAATGTATTAATCCAGTGCGAATGACTAAATTTGCCATTTTAGATGAGGCTACAGGCAATTGATGATTTCAGCACAATTACAAGCTGCTATATTTGAAGCGTCATCAAAAGTCGAGTTTCATGCCAGGGTTGTACGTCTTCCCGGGTGGCGCAGTGGACCCAACTGATAGCAATCTGAAATGGTACGAACATTTCAGTGCCTTCGGTCTGGACAAGGATAAGCTTGCATCTCTGGTACCAAAAACCGTGTCGCGACCGCAGATTTTTCAATCGAAAGAGAATGAGTTGCTCAAAGAAATCTCGCTACGCATTACGGCGATTCGCGAGACCTTCGAGGAATGCGGGATACTAATATGCAGACGTAACAAAGATGGCGATGCTCATTCTGGTTGGGCCGAGCACGTATCAAGTAAGAAATTACGTGAGGAATTATGAATAAATTTATAGCTAATGTAACATTTATCGGATAATTTTTAGTTCCTGAGGGTGAGCTGCAAATGTGGAAGAACAAAGTCCACAATGATGCGACGGAATTTCTCAATCTCTGTCAAAAATTGGAGTGTTATCCGGATTTGTGGGCGCTGCATGAATGGAGCAATTGGTTGACACCTACGTATAGGTTCAAGACACGTTTCGACACTGCTTTTTACTTGGTTTGCATGCCGCATATGCCACACGCTGAATATGAAGCTATAGAAATGGAGGATCTACAAGTGAGATACTTGCACAATAGCTCCGTAGATAACGCGTATCCTCCCATAAACACTAATCATTAAAATTGAATTCAGTGGTTCTCTCCGGAGAAGCTTCTTTCGACAAATGTCGAATTTCCACCGCCGCAACAGTACGAGATTGCCAAGTTCACCAAAGTTAAAAGTATAGATAATCTCCTGGATATTGCCATGGAACGGAATAAAATAGGCGTGCAGCTGTATTTATCGGTACGTAAGCTGAATTGTTCCAATGCTAGAATTGTTGAAGTGCTAAATATTTCGTATGCAGCACAAAAGCTTGCAGCAACATTGCTGCAACGTTTGCAATGTTGCTGTAATATTGCTGAAACAATCTGTGCTGTATGGGATACAGTGCAGAAGTTTGCAGTAACGTTGCAACTTTTCAGCAATATTACAGTAACATTGCAGTAACGTCGCAGTAATGTTGCTGCAAGCTTTTCATCCCACACAGCACGGATTGTTCCAACAATATTGCAGCAAAATTACAAACGATGTAGCAATATTGCTGCAAGTTTCTGTGGGATGGATAATCTTCAACACAAATAATTAGAAAAATATGCAATATCTTATTGTGTTGTTGATAAATATGTTTTAGGTAACTGTGCAATTGAAGGATGGCATCGTGTTTCTCTTGCCTGAAGATACGATGTACCCTAATGTGAAAGAAATTGAATTGTTTGAACAACAATTAATCGATAAGTCGGATATTACTGCACATGAATTCGAGAAGATGACCCTGATAAAAAACAGAATTGTAATTCTCGACACGCAAGTTAACATAATTTTTACCGATAACGGCAAAGATAATTGCGTGATATTTCTAAAACCTGGGTATCATTCAAAGTCTGGAAATGTGGAATCTAAAAATAAGCTTTAAGATGAATAATAGAGAGAAACACATTTGATTTCGGTTTCCAGATAATTTGCTCGAAGAAGATATTTTTAAATATGTTTAAATGTTGAATAAATATTAAACATTGTATGATTTGGTTGGTAAGGGGTTGTCAGCAGAACGGTTCTAAAATAATGATAAAATAATAACTTGTAAATAAATATAACATAAATGATCTTTGTTATATTTCTGTAATAAAATATGCATATTCGTATTTATGCAATAAATTATTAATAATGTAAACACGAACGTGTTAGCATTAAAATTTTATTAAATATGAACCCGTTGCCTGATAATTTTTTAAATATATACGTAAGAATATACGTGCGAAGCACTGCGTGGTGCATAACGCGTTTTAAAGATGGAGACTGAAAATTCATAAATAAAGCTTAAACATTCTTTATACCACTCGTGCGGCTTTTGCGCTATTATTACACAATATTTATTAAAGGTAATATTAATAAAAAAATTCAGGAGGTTGAATAGAGAGAGACAGCACGGGGGTCTTGGAGGTCTTGGACTCTTGGATTGGAACTTGCGCAGAACGCGGGTATTCGGGAAGGGGAAAAATCGTGTAAACGGGGTTTAAGGTGTCGCGCGCGCGCGCGCGCCGGCGCCGGCAGCGCCGCTTCGGGGCAACGCGGTGAGAATCGGCACTGACGTCTCCTCTCTCTCTCCTGACTCCGGCAAATCGATATTCCGCTCAAATATTGACTCCGCGATTGTGTGTGCGGTGTGCCGTCGCGAGTGCGAGTGAGCGAACGAGCGAGCGAGCGAGGCGAGCGCGCGCGCGAGCGACAGAGTCCGTCCCGTGCAGTCAGTCGGCGATGCTCCTTTAAAAAGCGAAGTGTACTCCGGAGTGCGCGCGCGAGTGAGACATTAGCACCGCCGAGAGAGAGTCAAGAGTGAAGCGAGAGAAGCGCGTATAAGGACGCGTAGTAAAGGTGCCTCGTAAGCCACGCCGCGCGCGGCCAGGCAGCCACGATCCTGTGACGACGAGAATCGAGAACGAGAACGAGGAGGAGCGGAGGAAATATGCTGCCGCAGGCAACGACGAGCGCGCTGCTCTGCGGGCTGCTGGCCCTTTACGTGGGGCTCACCCACGCGAGCATCGCCGCGGCCTTCGAGTCGACACCTTCGAGCTCCTTCGATCATGGAGGTGATTCGGTCTTTTCTCTTTTTATCCTTCCCCGTCTACCTGATGGTATCTCGCCGCCACCGGACTTCGCCGTTGCCCTACATTCTCCGTCTGTAATACCTGGTTCGCGAGCGAGTATCGCTGATCACGCGTGTTTCTTCGAATCACGACTCTCTCCTCGCCTCCGTCGAAGACGACGTCGGGGCTCGCGCCGCACCGCGCCGCACCGCGTCGCGACGCAGCGCGGCGGTCCGCAGGTGCGACACGGGTAATAACAGGCACCTGCGGCCCCCCGACGTGGCTGTTACACGGCGATCTCATTGACCGTGTGCGTGCCTGTGCTCCGTCTCTCGTTGTATTATACAATACGACGAGTTGAACGTTGCACTGCGCCCACCCGGTCGATATGCCGCCGCCGCCGACGCCGCCACCACCGCCGCGCGAAACGGGCGAGGAAAGAAAAAGGCGGCTGTTAAACCCTAGAACGATTCTTTCATCTCCGCTCCGAGAAAACGGACCCGAGGAGAGAAGGAAAAAAAAATGCGGGGGAGTTCGTTTTAAGCGGCGCGTTTATTGACCACCGACCGCGCTCGGGTCGACCGCGCTTGATTGTTGATATCTCTCGATACGAACCTTACGGGGACTGCGTTCCAATATTCACTGTCAAGTGTTGAAAATCTATAGCGTACGTCACGTGCACTATAGGCTTTCAACAGTGACAGTAAATATCGAAACGCAGCTGGAGTCCGCCGCGTGACGTAACGGAAAGGTGTCGAGGACGTGTTTAAAAGGAACGCTGGAAAAAGTTTTGGAGGAGTAAAATCTTCTTGGTTCTCCGAGGCTGATATTCATAATCGTTTCTTATATTTAACAGTTTTATATTTTACAGTCTTAAGACGTTACGAATCAATTAGAGGGTCGTATTAGCGTCTTAAGATATTACCTAAGGTCATTAAATTTTCGAAATTAGAACGGTTTATGAATACTTGAGAGATCTTATGAATCTTGGCCGAAATCGATTTGTCGCGATGCTCGTTTTGATTTTTCGCGTCCGAGATAATTGTCGTGCCGGAGCACCGGTTGATTCCGTTCGAAATCGCGCGACGTCGCGCCGTGAGAGAAATTCGGGATTTGCCGACGCGTTGCATGTTAACACGCCCAAATTCGCGGAACAACGAGAATAACCGTGTTATGCAAAATTTTCGGCGACGCCGGTAAAATTCATTCGCGTGTTCATATAAGCGACGCGGTGATAGAATTGTCGAAATACGTCTCATTGTCAATGCGACACGAGGTTGCCCGTCGCTAAAAGAGAAGCATAACGATGCCGTCGTCTCTTTTTTGCTCGCGTTAAATACGGTTCTCTTCTCGCGTCGCAACTGACGGAGCGATCAACTGCACTTTTCTTTTTTACACAGTCTTGGACTTGATGTAAACAAAATATGAATGGCAATAAAAGACACGATGGTAGACAAATCGATACACTGAAAAAAAATTCTGATTAACCTATAGGGTTCCACAATAATCTCTACTAATAGACTAGACTCTTGAAATTCAAACAATAAACTTATAAAGGCAAATGAGAATAAACGAGAGTTGCTATATCTGAATTACAAGAAAAGAATACATGTATACTTTATAAAAAAAGATGATGTTTGGAGGTGGAAGGAGGGGATAAATTTTTATGTGTTAAATATTGGTATTTAATAAAATAACATTTTTAGAATATAATTTTTATTGACAATTCTTATTAATGTAATTTTATAAATATACAATTTTAATAATCAGAAGTTGTATGACCTCAAAAAAATGTACATTAATTTTATCTATAGGGTCACTGTACTCTTTTAAGAGTACAGTTGACCCTAGATAAAATTAACAAAAGAACAAGAATGACATTTTGATAAGGACGAACAGAATTTCTGATTATCAGTGACCAAAAATTCTGTTCCGTCTCACTAAAATGCGATTCTTGTAGAGTCCTTTTGTTAGTTTAATCAGAACATTTTTTCACTGTAATGACACTTGTGTTTATTTCTGTCAATATACATTAACTTTAATCTTGGCTTAACTTACTTTTTATCTTTTTTTAATCCTAGGAATTAGAAAAAAATAAAAGAGTAAGTTAAAGTGAGATTAAAATTAATCTACATTGGTAGAAATAAGACATTACTGATTGTGAGACGAAGAATAACGATTTTGATCCGTCTTTTTATTACAATACGTGTGATAACAAGTTGTATAAACGTTTCTTTAATAAAACTTTACGTTTCTCGTACAACATTGTCAACAACGTTTTATCTTCATTTATGTAATAGTTTCATTTTATTTAATTGCCGATAATTGAGAAGAAAATGTACTAAATTTTAATAGATTTATTTGAATAATTAACTAAACATTTACTTAATTAATATTTACTTAATAAAAGATAATATAGTTAAATATAATAAAAATAATATAATTAAATTTAATAGTTTGAGTATATCTTTATATTCAGTAAATATACGCAAATCTTATTTATCATATTTTCTTCGATATTTATTGGTTATAAAAAAAATTTAACTGTGATGATGAAATATACACTTCCATAAAACATAGAAAATAGATGGTTGTTAAAAAGAAAATCTTATTTTGGTCGTATTTAAATAAGGATATTTATTTTTGTGAAATAAATATTATATCCCACAAATAAAATTTGTAAAGTATCTTTTTCTCAATATACTTGGCGCACTAAATATCGTGCCACGCCGATATTTCGGAAACCTTACGCAACTTCATCTACTTAATTAAATGCACTTTTCGCACGAATGAGGCTCGCACCCCTCAGGCAATATCACCCGGGACTCGATTACGATCGTTCACCGAATGACGGTATTAGTCATGCTTGTCGGAATAACAAATTAGGTGTGAATCACATTCGAGAAAGAGAGAAGCCTGGGATAAAATTAGACTGATTTCGAGCAAAGACTGACGAGAGTAAAGTGATGTGACTTTAATATTCTCGTCGCGTTTCTCGCTTGAGATAAAAGGGAGAGAAGGATCGTGTTACGGGCGTTAAAAATATTTGGATGCATCCCGCGTAGCGGTGAATCGTTAATTATCTCTAATCACCCACCCCGCTAAGATTAGAAGGGCCGCCACTGCCACGCGGAGACGATACCCGACACGATACTGCGATTCACAATATTTGAAGCTTTCTCTGCGACCATTGATATCGCGTGGCCCACATCGCGGGATTTGCATGTCACAATAATTGAATGTGCTATCGTCGTCGTTCCCGATGCACCGACACGATAATACGCCGCGCACGTCAAAGTATATTTCGCATACGAATAGTTAATTAACGATCGCGAGCCGGCAATTATCGGCCGCTGAAATTAGATGTCCCACCGATTGCGCCGAATATTTTAATGAGATGTGATCGAGTTTTAGGCATTGCCGCCGGAGACATGATGTTAATTAAGCAGTATCAACGCAACGCAAGTTACCTGTTTAATTTTCATTTGTTACAATAACGTCTATTGGTGCAATAAATAGGTAGTTTAAACGAGATAAATGTCTTATAGTTTCTGTAATTTTTATTGTAAACAATTTTATTTTGTGCAATCATATTTGCTTGCCTATAAAAGGATGATTTTGTTAAAGTATCTAAAAATTTAACTACATATAAATCTGAAAGTAATTATTGGATTAATTAAATAGTTATGTGAAATATTTAAGCTGGCTGTTAGAAATGTCAAAACTTTTTGGAGTCTTGAGTTTCTTACATAATTATTTTGAATAATTTATAAAAATTATTTTCAGATTTAACGTTTACTTAAATTTTTAGATACTTTAGCAAAATCGTTCTTTCTGTGTACAACTTGCGTATAACATGAGTTTCTTGCTTGTGTAGATATTCCATGTCATGCTTGGTACACATACTCGTATTTGTTGTACTATAAATTCGTGACACATGTATCATTAGCAAAATGTAATGTAATTGTATTATCCCGCGGTATATACATGATTTTATTTCGCGGAAGT